TAGATTATTTTTCTGAGGATTCTGATAATTTGTCATCTCAGGTTTCTAGTACTTCAAATACCCCTTCTCATGTTCTTACCCCGTTACCTTTACATTATACTCGACCAATTCGTACTGATCATTTTACAGGTACTGACACTTTACTCTCTGGCACACCTGAAGCTACCTCTTCTCCTATGGTCCCTCAAGCTCCATCTGAGATAGTAGATCCACTTCTACGTCAATCCATACGCATTTGTAAGTCCACAAAATTACTAGATTTTGCTTATTCTTGTTATTCTTCATCTTTTACTTCTTTTTTAGTTTCTATTCATTGTCTCTCTGAGCCATCTTCCTATAAAGAGACAATTCTTGATCCTCTTTGGTAGCGAGCTATGGATGAGGAACTTTCTACTTTACAAAAGACAGGTACTTGAGATTTGGTTCCTCTACCTCTTGGTAAGAGTGTTGTTAGTTGTCGTTAGGTGTATAAGATCAAAACTAATTTTGATGGATCTGTTGAGTGATACAAAGTTAGGTTGGTTGCAAAAGGGTACTCTCAACGGTATGGTATGAATTATGAGGAGATATTTGCTCCTGTTGCAAAAATGACTACTATTCGTACTCTTATTGCAGTTGTTTCTGTTCGTCAGTGGCATATCTCTCAACTTGATGTTAAAAATACCTTCTTAAATGGAGATCTTCAAGAAGAAGTTTATATGACGCCCCCTCCTAGTATTTCACATGATTCTGGGTATGTTTGCAAGCTCAAGAAAGTGTTATATGGTCTCAAACAAGCACCTCGTGCTTGGTTTGAGAAATTTTCTGTTGTGATCCCTTCCCTTGGATTTGCTTCTAATAGTCATGATTATGCTCATTTTGTTAAGTGCACTGATGCAGGTCGTATCATTCTGTCTTTATATGTTGATGACATGATATTACTGGTGATGATATTGACGGTATTTCAGTTTTGAAGATAGAGTTAGCTAAACAGTTTGAAATGAAGGATTTGAGTTCTCTACGATATTTCTTAGGTATTGAGGTAGTCTGCTCACCTAGAGGTTATCTTCTTTCTTAGTCGAAATATGTTACAGACATTCTTGAGTGAGCTAGACTTACTGACAATAAGACTGTAGATACTCCTATTGAGGTTAACGTAAAATATTTTTCTTCTGATGGTTTACCTTTGTCAGATCCTACTTTATACTGTACTATTGTTGGGAGCTTGATATATCTCACTATTACTCGTCCAGATATTGCACATGTTGTTTGTGTTGTTAGTCAGTTTGTTGCTTCTCCTACTACAGTTCATTGGGCAGCTGTTCTTCGTATTTTGCGGTATCTTCAGAGTACAGTCTTTTACTTCCATCCACCTTTTCCTTGGAGTTGTGTGCATACTCTGATGCTAATCATGGCAGTGATCCCACAGATCGCAAGTCTACTACTGGTTTCTGTATCTTTTTGGGTGATTTTCTTATTTCTGGGAAGAGCAAGAAACAATCTATTGTTTCTCAATCTTCAACCGAAGCAGAATATCGTGCTATTACATCTACTACCAAAGAGATTGTTTGGTTACGTTGTTTACTTGTAGGTATGAGAGTTTCTCTTTCTCATCCTACTCCTATGTATTGTGATAACCCGAGTTCTATTCAGATTGTTCACAACTCGATTTTTCATAAACGAACTAAGCATATTGAGATCGATTGTCACCTTATTCGTCATCATCTCAAGCATGACACCATTACCTTGCCCTTTGTTTCTTCTTCTTTGCAGATTGCAGATTTCTTTATCAAGTCGCATTCTATTTTCCGATTTCGTTTTCTAGTTGGCAAACTCTCGATGCTTGTAGCTGCCGCATCGTGAGTTTGAGGAGAGATGTTAAGAAATATAGGGTTATTGATTATTTTGTTTATTAAGGGTAGAATAGTCATTTGCTTTCTTTTTGTTTATCTTATATATAGTCTCTTTGTATTTAGGTTAAATCACTTCTTTGTATTCAATTGAATTACGCAGTATCAATAAAATCCTAGCCTCCTCTTTTCTTATCTCTTGTATTTCTCTTTTATTAGATTGTTTAACATATATATATATATATATATATATATATATATATATATATATATATATATAT